CCCTGCTCCCACTTTTCCACCAGGTGTCAGCCGAGGAGTTCTCTGGGAGCTGCAGCCTCGCCGGGACCGGCTCTGCTGCCAGCCCAAGGCGTTGATCAAAACTCCTCCCGGGGCGCTGTGCAATCGCCTGATCAAGGGAAAATCAAGCGAGGAACCGCCTCAAACGGAGGGCTGGCTCTGGCTGTGTTCCTGCTTTACACCATGTTTTTGTCTCATTGCTTTACGAGAGCAAGTGCCTCACACAACTGGAGAGGAGGCTGTTGCTCAGGGAAGGTATCTTCCTCGTGTTTCCAGCTCAGCTCTGACCAGTCAGCACAAGTTGGGACAAAGGCAGGTGCTCCCAGCAGAGCAGCACGAGCCAAACAGGCAAATGAGCCTCCTGGCCTTGGAAAAGAACAGAACTCTGCGGAGTGTGGGCTGGGAGAGGCTCCCCATCCTGCCAGGAACACAACCCTGCACCGCAGGGAAACATCAGCATGTAGGAAGGGTCAGGAACACGTTGCAGAGACAGGAAAAAAAAGCACCCAAACCCTCAAATCCTTTACCTTCGAGTGTTCCTGGTCCTGTAGCTCTCCTGCCTCTGGTCAGGGGATGTGGGCTTCCCATCAACGACAGCACTCATTAGTGCTAATGAGAGATACAATCCGTGTCAGCAGGAGGGTGCTGTGCTCTCCCCAGTGTGGTGCTGGGCTCACTCCAGGCAGCTGATCTGGCTTGGCCTGGGTTCATCCCTGCAGGCAGAGGTTGCAGCTCCCACAACACCAGACCAGAAATCCAGCCTGGACGCACAGGACCCCATCCAACACCAGCACAGTCCTAACCTGGAGGCCTTTGGCTGCTGGATTTACTTCCCAGAAAGGCTACCTGGGAGCAAATCAAAAGCCCAGGGAGGTTCTCCAGTTTTATCCCTCCCCACATCCTGTGGAGGGGGGTTTGGCCACCAGCAGGTGCCTGGAGACGAGCCCCCGCCCCTCATTCTCACACTCTTCCATGCGAAGTCCCATCAGGCAGGACCATCCTTGTCCTACCAGAGCTGGAGCCTCCCAGAGACCCTGATGGCTCATCATATACTCCTGTCTTTGCATGACACAACACACACTCCTCACAAGCTCCTCCCAGGTGACAGAGGAAGGGGTGAGACACCCTCCTTGCTCTGGGATGTTACTGGGCTGAGTGCCAGAGGAGCTCCTTGAGCAACACCAGCACCTTCCGAACCCATTCTCACAGAGCACCCCTAAAGGGCTGTTTTCTCTTCCCGAGGCCGGGCTCTGACAATCTGAGTGCAGCACGTTCAGGAGGGGAGGGCACTGAGCTGGTGGAGGCCTCTTGCCACGTGGGCACCTCCTTTGGCTCCGCGTGTGCCACTCAGCAGGCCCTGGCACTCCCGGGCGGCTCAGCCCACGCGAGGGAGATGGTGCCCTGGCAGCCTGGCCGAGGCTTCAAAGGCTGTGGGGTGTCCTCAGCCACCCCGAGCCCTGCAACCCCAACCGCAGGTTCTGCCGCTGGCACCCACGGGCACTGATCCTCCGGTGCCAGAGAGGTGGATGTGGCATCACCTAATGCCCCCTCTCTGCCAGAGATCCCAGCACAGAGTGGGGTTGCAGCCAGTACACCCTGAGTAAACTGTGCTTCATCTCCCAGTGCACTCCCAACACCAGGACGAGCTCTCCAGGAACAAGCTGATCCTTCACTGTGCTCTGACAAGATGGACAAGGCCCCAGAGGAGCAGGTTCACGTTCTGCTTTGCTTTGACAGCTTAAATGTCATAACACCATTGCAAACCCAACCATGGCATATGTTAACTTACAGAGTTCATTAATCTCACCCCAAAAGCACCGGCAACAAAATTAAATATGTCATAAGGTTGTTATTTGGCTGCTGCACTGCAGGAACCCAGCACAGCCCCCTCCCTCCTGCTGCAAGATGTAGCTGGATGGTGAGTGTGGAGGCCTGAGCAGAGAGGGGGCTGCCCTGTTCCCTGCCCACCCCTCAGCAGGGTCCCTGTCCTCCCCAGGGCCCTGCCTGGCTCTACAGATCCACAGCAAGGAGATTCTTTCCCCACCTAGATTCCCGGGAAAGGGACCTGGGAATTGATAGGAGCAGCGTGCATTTCCCTGAGGTCTTGGTGGGAGCTGGGCTTCTGGAGAAGAACTGGTCCATCGTTGGCTGGGGAAGAGCTCTGCTCACACACTCTGTGCTCCCACTGCTCTACTCAGTTGGTATTTTTGTTGCTGACCCCCAGGAGCAGAGGTTGCTACCTCAAGCCCCTCACATGCTCCTAGAAGTACCAACGCACACGTTGATCTCCTGGGAAGGAGCTCTGGGACCTTTGTTACAAAACCAGTTTTTCAGAGATTTCTGGCTTGGGTGCAAACGCAACAAGTGGTCCCTGGGTGGGGACCTGGCCCAGATCCACAGAAAATGCTCCCCATAGCAGGGGGGCAAGGGGGCAGCTCTTGTGTTGAGGACCTCAGCAGGATCATGTCACTGTCAGCAAACACAAAGGACCTTTGACAGAGCAAAACACAAGCACAGCTGGATAAAGAGCAGGTAATGGGGAGCTACATTTGAATGTCCTGTGCTCAGGTGACCCCAGCAACGGCTCTGGCCAGGCTGAACCAGTAGCAGAACCAGGCAGCTGCTAGGACAGCGTGTGTGCAGCCCCCTGTGTAACGGTCCTGGGCCCTGCCTGGGGCCTTGGGACAGCAGGTTACAGTGAGTAATTGTTTATTGTCACCACAGGTGGCTTAAGAGGTGCCTCCTGCCATGGGAGACCCAGGGGTTTGGTTTGCCCTCCTCACCAGGCAGGTGCTGTACAGAGGGGCTGGGGCAGGGAGGGACTTGGTCACCTTACAGGTACTATTTGGGTGTTTTCAGGTCCCTGTCTCCTTCCTGGGCACTGCTGCCCTGGGCTGGGGAGGGTGAGACCCCCTGGCAGCCCTACAGCCCCACAGCTCCCGGCTCCCCACCCCAGCCCACCGTGTCACCGTGAGCCCGGTTTGCCCGGCGTGTTCTGTGGGTGGCAGTGGGGCAGCTTTGCCTTTTGTTTTTCCTTCCCTTTGTCTGTGAGTGTTGCAGGTTTCCTCTGCTCCGTCTCATTCTTGGGTGGAAACACAAATTCCCTCTGAGGTGCTGTCAGGGACCATCCTCCTGCTCACCCACAGTCCCACAAAGGTCGGCTCACAGCCCTTCCCGCCTGGATTTTGCACAGTTTCACCTCTTTCAGATGAATAAAGAGTCAACATTATACGGACTAGATGAGTGAGGGATGTTAAGAATGAACTGGAACATAACTGCAAAATACAGCATATCCAATCCAATTTTTCCTAGCAAATGAAACGGATCTGGTGGAAAATAAATACAGAACTTCCAGGAGCAGCGTCCTTGAAGAGTATTTGAGGGGGATGAAGAAATTTGAATGGATCAACCCTCTACACCTCTGCACATCCCTCCTCCCTCCCTTAAATGCCATCTTTAACAGAAATAAATTAGAATAAACGATCAGCTCTTGCCTCCTAAAGACAGGTGGCAGGGTAATATTAAAAGAAATGAATAAAAATTCATTTAATGAGCATTGTTAATTAAACCTGGAAATCAAAGAGGTCTGAGTTGTGGGAATTCAGAGGAAAAATGAAAATGAAGGGAGCTGTAGCTCGGGGCGGGAAGAGTGGAATTAAATTAACTGCAGTGTGGGGTTGTGTTTGTTGATGTCGATCACACGGCACAGCGTGTTACAGCTGCGGGTGAAGGGTTTGTGCTCTGCTTCACCCAAAACCCGCCGCCAGTGGAACCTCCCGCCCAGCCACGGGCGCCCCGCGGGTGGCACGGTGAGACCGCGGGGACCCGCCACCCCACAGCCCGGCCACGGCGCCCGTGGGCTGCGGGGAACTGTGACCGTGGGTGTCCGAGCGCCGCGAGTGTGTGTCGGGGCGTGAGAGTGGGCGAGTGTGCCCGTGAGGGTGGGCATCCCCCGGCAGGGCCGTGCGGGGCATCACCGCCCCGCCGTGGGTCCGTGGGGACACCCCTGCGTGGGTGTAATATGGCGGGGGGGATAGGTTGTCATTGGGGTCGCTCTGTGCCGCTGGCGGGGCCTCCTCGTCCCCCCGGTTCGCCCCGCCGGTGCTCCGTGCCCAGTGCCGAGCGCAGGGACCCGATGCTGCGGGCCCGCCTCACCCTGCCCCGGAGGGAGGGCCCAAAAGCGAGGGAGGGATGGAGAGGAGGAGGGAGGGATGGTGGAGGGCGGGGAGGCAGGCACGCTGCCCGTCGGTGCTCCCCGGTTTCCCCTGCCTCTGTCGCAGCCGGCGCCCGCCCTCGGGTAGAGAGCCAGTCCCGGAGCACCCCCAGACACTTCTCTCTCTCTCCCCAGTCCGGGCTGCGGCTCTCCCTCCTCGTCGGGGGAGGTCTCAGCTGCCTTCGGGGCCATCGGTGCGCTCCCGGCCGGGGCCCCCCTCCCGGCTCGGGCTAATAAAGTCAAACCGTAGAGCATCGCCACCGCCCCACACCCCGCCCGCACCCCCGGATTCTCCTGACCCTGGGGGCTCGGTCCCGGGGCGGCCCGGGGCTCTCCGGGACAGGGCTCTCAGTCGGCGCGGCCCGGGGCGGGGGGCCCGGGGGTGGCACCGGGGGGAGGGTGTGCGGTACCTCGCGGGAGCGGGGCGGGGAGCGGGGCCGCCCGACGGCGCGGGGGTAGCACCGGCTGCGCTCCCAGGGGGCGGCGGGCGCCCCTCGCCCCCAGCCCCGGCCGCGTCCCGCCGCCGTCCCGCTGTCGGGAGCCGTCGGGGCCCCGCGGGAGCGGGCGGCGCGTCCCCGTCCCCGCGCTCTGACGCGCGCTCCCGGGGCGGCGGGCGCGCCCCCGCCGCTATAACTGGCGTGCATGGAGTCGGGGCCGGCGCAGAGGAGCGGGCGGGCGATGGGAGACGTCGCTTCGGCGGGATAGAGGGGCGGAGACGGGGGCACCCCCGGGGCCCGGCCCGCCCGGGGCTCGCCGCGGGCCCGCACCGATGCTTGTGCACAGCTACCCGGGCATGGTGAGTGCGGGACGGGCGCGGGCTGGGCGGGACGGGACGGGATGGGACGGGACAGGACGGGATGGGACGGGATGGGACGGGACGGGGGGTCCGGGGTCCGCGCTCACCTCACCTCACCGCCGTCTCCGCCGTCGCAGGACCGCACCGAGGGGCTGCCCGGGGCGCCGGCCGGGGCCCGCCTGCCGCAGCTGCCCTCGCTCAACCAGGCACCCTACGGTTCGGCGCCACCGCTCTGCCACACGCCCGCCGCCGACTTCCAGCCGCCCTACTTCCCCCCGCCGTACCCGCAGCCGCCGCTGCCCTACCCGCAGGGCCAGGAGCCCGGCTACCCGCACCTGGCGGACCCGTACGCGGCGCTCAGCCCGCTGCACCAGCACCAGCAGCCGGCCTGGCCCCCCCAGCGCGGCCGGCAGGACGAACCGGGGCTGCTCTCGCAGACCCACCGAGCCCTGGGGCTCGACCCCCGCCGCGAGTACCCCGCCGTGCCCCGCCTGCTCCACGGGCTGCCCGACGGCAGCCACGGCCTCGCCGACGGCCCGCTGGGCCTCCACGGCCTCGGTCACCACGGCATCGAGGATATCCAGGTACGGGGGGACGGCGGGAGCGCCGGGAGGGTGCCCGGGGGCTGGGGGGGAACGACCGATCCCGCCGTCTGTGCGCCCGGGGGCTCCAGGCCGGGACAGGTCGAGCCCCGCGGCGTCCGTACCCCCGGGCAAGCAGGGCCGCCGCGCTGGCATCCCCGTTACCGGGGCTCGTTCGTGCCACAACGATTCCTCCTGGCCGGGGGCAGCGAGAGCACCGGGCCGAGGCCGCACTGTCCCGGTGCCCGCCCGCCCCGGGAGCCGCCGGCTGACGGCTCTTTCCTCGGTGCTTTCAGGCCGTGGACGACGGCGGGATGAACCTTCTCGATCAGTCCGTGATCAAGAAAGGTAAGAGCGCGGCGGCTCCGCGGGACGCGCCACCGGGCCGGGCTCCGCGCCCGTTCCTGCCCTCGGGGCTCCCCCGCGTCGGGTTCCCCCCGTGACCGCCGTCCCGCGAGGCCCCCCCCCGCCCGTCGGGAAGGGCTCGCTGCCGTTCCCGACGAGACTGAAACGAAAGCGGCGGGTCCCGGCGGGGCCAGCGCGCCCACCCGCCCCCGGCCCGCGGCGCTCCCCGGGGCGGTACCGCGGCCGCCGCTTCTTCGCGGTACCGGGGGCAGAGGGACCCGGACGGGCGGATCCGGTTGTCGCGGAGCCCCGGGGCCCTCCCCGCCGGCGGCCGCGGGCGGTTTGCGTGGGAAGCCCCGGGGATGCCCCGGTGGGGCTTGGCGGCAGCTCCCGGTCCCGCCACCCCCGGCCACAGCCCCGCGCCCGGCGGCGGGGGAGGCAGCGCGGGCCGCGCACCGCTTCGCACAGCCCCGGGCCGCGGCGGATCGGGCCCGTTCGGCGGGGTTCTGCGGGGGGAAGGACGCGTTTAACGGGGGAGAGGAGGTGGCGCAGCCGCGGGGGCCGGTGCTACCCGTCCCCGCAGACGGGAGCGTCCCGCAGCCCCCCAGGCGGTCCCCCCCCGCCTCGGCAAAACCGGGCCTACGGAGACCCCCCCGTCTGCAACTCCAGAAACGGGGCTTCGCTCCGGGACCAGAGGGGGGAACGGCTTCTCCCTCCGGGACCAGCGGGGCTGCGGGCAGGGATCCCGCACGGCCCTCGGGGTCTCCCGTCTGCGGTTCTCCCCCGCACGCTGAGCATCCCCTCTGCTTCCCAAAGAACCCGTGGGTAGAACAGCTCAACTCCCTGAAATATTTTTGTATTGAACCCTCCGCCGGGGCGTTGAGGGAACGGGGTCTGGACCAGGAGCGATCGGTGCGGTGCTCGGGGCGACCCCTCCTATGGAATATTCCAGCGCTGCTCGTGGCTTCTCCCCGCGATTTTTTACAGAAATGTGTGCATGGCAAGGACGCGTTGAATCGCCGCCGCCGGGGCGGGTCCGGTAGCGCGGGCCCGGCGGGGGCCGCAGCCCCGCAGTCCCGGTGCCGGTCCCGGCCGCAGCCGAACCCCCGGTGACTGCCCGGCCCCGGCGACCCGGGAAAAACATCCCAGTTGTGCGATCCCAATCCCCGCCACCACCGATCGTTTCACGGGGGGAGCGGCGCTCCCGCTTCGCCGCAGCCCCTTTTCCCTGGAAATGGCTGTTCCAGGAACACGCGGCTGCCAGCGGGGCATTAATGACTCGCATTAATTGAGCTTTAATCAGAACGCAGGAGAGGCGTTTCATCAAACCCCCGGGAGAGAGAAATGCCCGCGACAAGCTGCGGGGTGCGTGGGCCGGGAGCGGCCTTGCCTCCACGGCTCGGGCCGGGCAGCAGCACCCAGGAGCCCTCGGGAAACACCCCGCAGCGGCAATATTTGTCTGGAAGTTCGGCTGGAGTTACAGTGGTTTGTTGGGGTTTTCCCATCCTTTTTCCAAACGCGCCATTAGTTAGAATTTTTCTTCTCCTATCCGGGGGATTTGTTGTTGTTCAGTGCCAGGTTTGTGCCTAGGGATTCTCTAGTCCTCTAGTCTTGGAAAGAAAGGAAAAAAAAAAAAAAAAGGAAAAATAAAATTTAAATATCCCTGGATGAAGGCGGGCACGGTGGGAGCAGGTCGCCCGCATCCCCCGTTGCGGAGTTGCTCTTCTCACGCAGGTTCTCGTTTGTTTTTTTTCTTTCTTCCTTTTTTTTTTTTCCAATATATGTATTTCCCCCTTCCTTATTTTTTTCCCTTTAAAATTATTTTTATTGTTGTTGTTTTGTTTGGGGTTTTTTAAATTATTTTTTTCTATTATTATTGCTGTGTTTGGAGGGCGAAGCCCCGAGTTCGCCGGAGAAATCGATAAATCCAAAGCCAAAATGGTGTTTGCAGGGGGACGCGGGCGATTACCCTGGGAAGGGCGGGACGGAGGCACCGGGGGTTCCTTGGGGCAGCGGCAGCACCGTGGGCTCTGTCCCGGCACCGCTCCGGGGCTCCAGTCCTCGTTCGCCCGTATTTCGGGGGCCGCGCTCCTTCCCTAGCCCTGGAAACCCCAAAACTGGCGAGTTCGGCTCACAAGAAAGCTGAGGAATTATAGAAGCTGCAGCCGGGAATGCCCGATCGAACGCCGCTGCTCTCTGCTCAGCCTGGGGAACAAATTCCTTCATATTCGGCTTTATTTAATTTTTTAAAATATGTAATGCGTGGTCGTTCTTACTGCTCTGGCTCTTCCAGCTTTGAGCTCTGTCCTGGTGCCCCAACGGGGCCGAGCCCGGGGCCCCGCGGGGGAATGACACCCCAGGAAAAAATACAATTAAATTAAAACCATCGGAGGGTCCAGGGCGGTGTAGGAGGGGGCAGGTGGGCAGCGAGACTCGGGGACCTCCTCTCTGCAAGGAGTGAGGGTAAACCCTAAAAAGCGCAGTTTTGTCCTCAATCGCGCCGAGATCTCAAGTACCGATTAATCCTGGAATTCCTGACGGAATGGCCGTGGGATAGAAACCTGATAGAAATCTGTGCCTGTGAAAACAGATACATCTCTCCGTAATTAGTTGCCGAGATACTGTTGTCCTGGTTCAACAAAATATTAATCATCTGCCCCAAATCCCCAAATCCCCCTTTAACTCCCGTCCTTGGAGGCGAGTTTAGTCAAGAAGAGCCCGGGACGGGATGGAAGCGGCCGCAGCCCCGCGCTGCCCCCGCAGCCGGTCCCGTCCCGTATCCCGGGGCTCCAGGACCGTCCCGTCACGGAGGGTCCCTGCCGGTGTCCCCTCGTCCCCCCGCACCGACGGGCCCCGCCGCGGGCGGGGAAGAAGCCTCCCGGAGCCTCGGAGCGTGTTGCGGGAGCATCCCTGGCTGCGCGTCTCTTTCCCCCCCTTTTCCTTCTCAAACAAACTTCCACGGTTCCAGCCGTTAATATAATTCCAGGGATTTTGTGGGGATCTCAGAGACGCGGTGTGCTGACAGCCTCCCCCCCGCCGGGGTGTTTTCCCGAGGGCTCCTGGCTGCAGGTAACCCGGACTTTAGGAAACAGCGTGGGGAGAGGACAAGGGGGTATCAGCCCCAACACGGGCTCGGGGACTCCCCCCGGGGTCCCCGACCCGCAGTCCCGGCAGTGACAGAGCAGCGCCCAGAGCCGGGTCCCGGCGGCGGGGACAGCCCGGGGAGGCAGATCCCGGCTGGAAACAGGCGCTCAAAGCTCCATTTCCACCCTTGCCCTCGGGACCGGCTCCGTTTCGTTATCCCCGTGGACGTCCCTTGGGGTGATGTGCGGTGTCCGGGGCGGTTGCGGGGTGAGGTGTGCGAGGGAGGCAGAGCCGGGAATTCGCTTGGAGCAGGGAGAGGTGACAGAAAAACGGAGGACGAGTCCCTTGCTGTCGCGACAAATAGGGGCTAGATCTAGCTCGAGAATTAAATGGATAAAATCCTGAATAGGGCAGCAGAGCCTTTATGAATATCTCGTTTGTTTGTTCTCCCTCTTTTCCAAAAGTATTTCAGAAATATTTGGGTCCTTTTGTTGTTGTTGTTTTGTTTGTGTGGTTTTATTATTACTGTTAGTATTAATTTATTTTTTCCTCCCAAGAATTTTTATAAGACCAGGGAGATATTTGACTTGAAAACATTAAAATTAACTCTGAAAAAGTTTAGTCCAGGGCTCTGGCTGCTTTAGTTTACGGCAGCTCAGGCATTTTCTGCTCCATTCACCTGCTTCCCTGGTGTTTAGTCGCCCAGGTCAGCTATTGAGGTCCAGCTGTGAGACCCCCCCAGACATAAAATTGGAGGCCCAATGAGCCCTGAGCTCCTGATGTGGGTTCTTCCCTCAGCTGGGCGAGGAGAGCGTGACTTTCTGGTTATGAAATCAAGCGTTAGGCCCCTGCTCTCAGTAGCAAAAAATCCTGCAGCTTGGTTGTAAAATAAGGAGGGGTTTTATTGCTTTCACATCCTTTCTGGATCAGCAGAAAGCTTCTCAGAGAGCCTTTTTATTACAAAGAAAAATAGAAATCTCTTTCCCTGGCACCCGGAGACACATTTGGGGTGTGGGAGCAGCCGGGGGTCCTGCCAGCGGTGGGTCAGAGAGAACCAGGGCCCTGTGGCAGCAGGAGAGGGGTGAGCCACGGGGGCCTGGGCACCCGCTCGCAGGCACGAGTTTTGGCTGTGGCATTTTACAACCTGGAGTAGAGACAGAGCAGGGTGGAACCAGCGTGGGCTCGCACTGGCACCCTGGCACGCATGGCACACGTCCCCGGGCTTCACTGTGGGGCAGCAGGACCTGGTCCTGCCCCTGTGCCCTGTGTTTGTGGGTCTGGTCCTGCCCCTGTGCCCTGTGTTTGTGGGTCTGGCCGCTGCCGCTCTCCCTCATGTTTGTGGAAATCATTCTGATTTCCACCCGAGGCTTTCGAGCTGCTCCGAGTGGCAGTGCTGGCTGTTTCTGCTCAGGAATGTGGACCTGTTTGGCTGGATGCTGGACAGACGGATGGAAAGCTGTGCCTCAGAGCCCACAGTCAAGAATATTGCACGAAGTAGCTGTCACTGCTAAGGAATGCGGCAGAGGAAGGAGATTAAGACCGAAATCCTTAGATCCACTCGCCACTGCACGCGAGCTCCAGGTTTTGATGCAAAGTCTCCCCGTGGGCTCCGTGTGCTGGTGGGACCAGGGCACTGGTGTGGTGGCAGAGGTGCCATTTCTCCTTTGTTTCGGTGCAGGGAGGAACTGAGCTGTAAGAAATGTAAGAAACCAGATGTGGCAGAGAAAAAAAAAAAAATCCTGAAAGAATGGTAGATTAGATAAACATCATTTCCTGTGATGAGCAAGGTAATAAATGAAGTCATCCTGTAAAACACCTGGGGCTGCAAAGACAGGGCTTGGAGAGGACTGTCCAGGGCTGTGGGTGGAGGCACTTGGCCTCCAGTCAGCTGCAGGGTGCTGGGCTCAACCAGGAGCTCT